AAACAACAAATCTTTCATTTGTTTTCCCAAGGAAAGCTCATTTCTCAACCCAAGTTACAACTGTGAGGTGGACAGAGGAATTACCAGAGCTGATTATTGGGGAGCATGGAGTGGTTTGGGTGGGAAGGGACCTTCAGGATCACCCAGTGCCACCCCTGCCATGGCAGGGACACTTCCACTGTCCCAGGCTGCTCCAATTTACATCTGTAATTCTGTAATAAATGTAATTTCTGTATATATATATTATAAATGGAATATATTTTTATATATAATATATTCATATATATATTTATATATATTTTATATATTTAAATATAATGTATTTAAAATATATATTTATAAATATTTTATATTTATAATATATATATTTTATAAATATAAATATATATTTTTATATAAGTATATATTTATATATATTTTTATATATTTATATATATTTATAAATTATATATATTTTTAAATATATATAAATATATATTTAAAAATAAATATAATGTATATAATTTAATATATAAATAATATATATTATAAAATATATATAATAAAATAAAACCAAAATATAATATAATATCACATATATATTTTATATATATATATAATACATATATTATATCATTATATATAATTATTTCTATTCTATTCTATTCTAACACAGGACATCCCTGTGTTGCAGTGACACATGTGCAGGTGACACTAAATCCAACAGCCAAACCTCTCCACTTCCCCAACCAAAGAAGTTTCTGCCTCCTCCTCCCTGATGCAGTGAAATGCAGGGATGGAGGGCAGGAGGCAGGGACAAGGGCATGGGACCTTCCTGAGGAGCACCAGAAGCCCTGTGTGGGGCAGGAGCTGGAGCCACAGCCCTGGGGCAGGCTGAGATCCCCCCTGGGGGAATTCCTGCTCCACCAGGACCTGACCAACGCTCCAGGGTAAGGCCCAGAACTGAGGAAAATGAATCCAGGGCACACTGATGATTAAAATTGGCTGACGGGTCCCAAAGAGCAATGGAAAATAGAAAATTATCCTCAGGCAAGTGATTTTCTGCTGGAGTTCTGTAGGGATTGCTTTTGACTGCTCTTTTAACTCCCCCTTCCCTCCAGGAATGCTGGGAGGAGCCCAAGGGCTGTGGCTCAGGCAATGTGGGGATCTGGGAACAGAAAACGCTGGAGCAGCCACTCCCTGATCCCAGTGTGTGGGCAGGCAGAGAGAACAAGCCCTGCCTGCTCCCTGAGGGCAGGGAATGAGCCCTGGGGACAGGATGGGCCTTGGGCACCTTCCTGGGGACCCCTGAGCACCCCCAGGGCTCGGATCACCCACAGGGGGGGACCCCACACAGTGGGAGCACAGGGAGGTGACCACAGCTGGGTCACCTCAGGTGAAGGACACTCAGAAAATCCTCAGTGCCCTGCACTGCTGGCTCCAGACATCTTCTAGAGCCTGAGGGGCCCTGAGGATGTAAAATGGACAGGGAAAATAGAATCCTTCCCTTCCTGCTCCCTGCCTTGGCACACCAGGATGAGGGCACTGAGCTCTGAGCTGCTGCACAGCCCCTTGGATCCTGCTGGCCACCAAGGGCAGAAAGATGCCCCAGATTGTCTGAACCAGGAAATTCCTCTGGCTGCCCTGGAGGACTCAAGACCCCATCAGGGGGCTCAGAGACCTTGGCACAGAGCCCAGGACCCCTGTGCCTTTGATTCAGCCCATGGAAACAATTACCAACCTTTATATGAAGAATTACAGGCCAGGAAAGTTTAAGTAGAATGATAGTGAATTTATCACGGGGGGAAAAAATAGATTTTGGGGTTTTTAGAATGGGGCAAGATGGAGGAATTGGGGTCTGTCCAGCCTTTCTCCTTCTTGGCCTCCATCTTCTGCTGTGAAGGTGGCACTTTTAGATTGGTTTAGAGTAGAAGCTCACTGTCTAACATAGGTGATAGGTATTGGGAAGTTATGGTAAATATTGTACATGTAGGTTTTAGTAGAAAAAGATAACACCAGAGTGCCTCTGTCTGACCTGCTGAACGGACCTCAGCTGGACAGGAGAAAGAATTTTATAGATAAGAAACAATAAACAACCTTGAGAATGAGAACTGAAGAGTTCTGACTCCTTCTTTGACTGCCAGGCTGGGAAAAGAGACTTTCTAACACATCTTGGGGTCACTGTGAGCAGCAGAGATCCTGAGCAGATTTCACCAGATTTCACCCACCTGCTCCTGCAAGGGACCACTGGATCCCCCCAGCTGTTCCAGGCACTCCCTGATCCCAGCCCTGAGCCAGGGAATTCCCAGGGAGCCCATGGACACTGCACATGAACTGCAGGCACACAGGAACTTTCTGTTCACTACATCAACACCTCATCCAGCTTCCCATCATTTCCATTGGGAATTCAGCTGCATTGTCAAAAATCCCCAAATCCAGCTGACTCAGTAGAACTGTGACTTGAACTCCTGTTAACTCACTAAAAATGCCACAGCTCACAGCAGCCTCATGTTCGTTTTCCCCTGTATAAACACTTATTTGGGAACCACAACCTCAAAGTAAGACAATTCCTACCAGGAATAACTTTTAAAAGACACAGCTTTGTGAAGCTTTCATGGGTGATGCAAAGAAACGTGAATCAGGCAAAACATTGCCAAATGTGAAGCCTTTGTGCCCAAAAGCAGCTGCAGAACACAGCACTGAGAGATGTCACCTCTGTAATTGTTCTAAAATGTCCAAGCTATTTCTTGCTGAAAATGTCCAAAATTTTATAGGTGGGTCAGCATTGAAGTTCCCATTTCAAAGAGTTTGGAATAAAAAATGAAACCTGAGAGAAAGCATCTGGATGAGAAGGTTTGGGTGACACCAGCAGCCTCCTCCTCCCCTTTCCTACACCACAGAATGGCACAGAACTCGCATGGTTTTATCACACACAGTTAAAGGATCAGCACCCACCAGCACCCACACAACCACAGGTGCCTGGGACACCTCAGCCTTGCCAAAACCTCCCAGCAGGGGTCCAGGATGGGTGCTGGGATGGCTGGAAATTCATTTTAATGCTCAGAGAGAGCTCCAGAACCCACAGGAGCTGCTCCCACACCCCGGTTGGAGCAGAGCTCCTAAACCCCACCATGGCTGGGATCTTGCAAGCAATTGAACTTTTAGGTTTGAGATTTTCCTGCTGGCTCCAGCCTTAGCTCCTCCTCAGGCAGGGCAGAGAAACCCGACCCTGACAAGGCACACCCACAGCTAATCCTGCTAATGAGGAATTCCCTGGCTAATGAGGAATTCCCTGGCTAATGAGCAATTCCCCCGGTGCCTCCCCAGCACAGGCTCAGCTAATCCCATTCTCTGACAGGAGTTTGTGACTCTAGGAAAATGGAAAGTGATGGAAAACATGAATACATTCCTGAATGTTTTAATTTACAGATATTGCTTTGAAGAGGGAAACCATGACATTTATATATTTGGGAAACTAAATGCAAGTTGTCCTGTGCATTGCCCTTCATCCAGCAACTTTTATTGGATGTTGGAGAGAAATGGGCTCCTACAGCAGCTCTCCCATTTACCCAGCTGTGATTTGTCATTTGAAGAACTAAAATAATGCTAATATTGTGTTAAGTGGAGCTGATCAGCACATAAATATATTTAACTGCCTTTCTCCTACAGACAGGGATTAGATTAAAACAAATTCTTTTGAAAGACAGAAATGCCATTGCTAAAATCAGTGTAAGAAATTGGAAATCAGCAGTTCCCACCTTTAGGAGAACAATGTGCAATGTTTCAGGCTGGTGGTCACAACATCCTTTGTTAAAATGAAACCTCTGCCTGAGGCTGAGTGGGGACAGGTGCCACAAGGGCTGCTGCTTGGGGGACCAATCTGAGCAAAATTAAAAGGAATTTTGGGTGATTGGAGACTGAACACAGGAGCTGGAGTGTCACCAAGAGTGTCCCCACACCAGAGAGCTGGCAAGGCCCTGAGGAGCATCAGCCACCTGAGGGTGATGTTGGATGAAGAATCCCAGGGATTCTCAGGATTCCCAAACAAACATTGCCTTACAGAATCTCCTGAGCCTGCAAGAACAGCTGCCTTTGCCATAAAATGAGATTTAGGTAAAAGTAAAACCAGAGAATGTTTTCTGTTGCTTTGCAGCACTGAATTTCCCCAAACCAGTTACACCAATGCTGAGAATTCATTTCCAAAGGACTCAGCCCCTGCCCAAAGAAGCAGGGCCAGTCCTGAGCTGCACACTGTGGTGGTGAGAGGGGGCTGGACCAGCACAGTCTTCTTGAATTCATGCAAAAATACCCTAAAGGGACCAAAATTCCCTCTGGTTTTCCTGCCACTCACAGCTCTGAGTGAGGATTTACCTGTAAAGTTCTGGGGAGGTTGTGAGCAGCAAAGCCAAGGCTGCAGGTGCTGGCAGCACCATTCCTCCTAGGAATCTCCTCTGGAGCAGCCAGGAACAAGCCAAAGATCTGCTCACTGCACACCCTGCTCCTCCCTGGAGCTCCTTTCTGTGCCTGCTGCAGCCTGGAATTCACTCCTGGGATCCAGGAGCTCAGTCCCACATACCCCTACACCAATCACCAGCTTTGGCTCAGGGATTTACAGACAGACAGACTTCAGGGAGCAGAGATGACATTGCACAGCCATGATTTACTGCTCAAGCAATAAATCACCTGCTGGTGATTTATGGTACTGGGGCAGGGGTCAATCTGAGCAAAGAAAAACTCCATTTTAATTTGAAATATGAAGAGTTTGGCTGCAGGAAGCCCTCAGGAGCCATTGTGACACACCCCAAGTGCACCTTCAGTGCTATTTGTCCCCCCAAACACCTGTGGCTGTCACACACACACAGGGAAGGCAACCAGAGGAATACAGGTAAAAAGTGTGCCCCAAAAATGTCAGGAAGAAAAGGTCACTGTGGCATCCCAGGGCTGCAGCCCAGCACCACAGTGACTCCAGGGATGGTCTCCACTTTGGAATGGGTGCCCAGCAGCCCCAGCCCAGCACTGACCTTTTGAAGTGACTGGCCAGGACCCCCACGAGCTCCCCAATCCTGCTGTCGTTGGAGGGGTCATTGCTGAAGAGACAAACGATGAGATCCTTGTTGTCCTTGGTGTGGAACACCACCAGCTGGTCCTTCCCATTGGAGACACTCAGCCCCACCAGCTGAGGAGAGAAAGGGAGAACAGTGTTGGCTGTGCTGATATAAAAATGTTGATTCCCCACCCCTGGCAATGTCCCAGGCCAGGCTGGATGGGGCTTGGAGCAGCCTGGGACAGTGGAATGTCACTGTCAGATTTTCTGGAAAAATCTCCTTGCCCAGGATTCTTCTCCTGGGAAGCTGAGACGCCTCAGAGAAAAAGGAAAACAATATTATCTCATTTGCTTCTCCTGGGTTTTGCTGCTTTGGAATGTGTTTAGAGATTGTTTATCCAACAGGTGCATGTTTGATTTGTTTCATGTGAATTGTTTTTACTTAATGACCAATCACCATCAGCTGTATCAGGACTCTGGAGAGAGTCACAAGTTTTTCATTATTATCTTTTTAAGCCTTCTGTAAGTATCCTTTCAATATAATGTAATGTAATGTAATGTAATGTAATGTAATATAATATAATATAATATAATATAATATAATATAATATAATATAATATAATATAATATAATATAATATAATATAATATAATATAATATAATGTAATGTAATGTAATGTAATATAATATAATGTAATATAATAATTATTATTAATATATTGTATTTTTATATATATAATATAATATAATATAATATAATATAATATAATATAATATAATATAATATAATATAATATAATATAATATAATATAATGTAATGTAATGTAATGTAATATAATAATTATTATTAATATATTGTATTTTTATATATATAATATAATATAATATAATATAATATAATATAATATAATATAATATAATATAATATAATATAATATAATATAATATAATATAATAATATAGCCTTCTAAGAACATGGAGTCAGATTCATCATTTCCTCCCCTTGTTGGGGGACCCCAAAAATACCACAGAGGGAGGTGTCCCTGCCATGGCAGGGGTGGCACTAGATGGGCTTGAAGGTGCTTCCAACCCCAGCCATTCCATGATTCCCTGACTCCTGTGCCTTTGCCACTGCCAGGGTGCTCCCAACCTCCCCCCTGGAGCTGAGGGGTGGCAGTGGGTGGGTGTCCCCCCAGGAGCTGAGCAAGCACAAACAACAGTGGCTCTGTGGAATTGAGCAGCCTGGGAGGTGTGAGGGACAGTCCCCACCCTGCCTGGATGGCTCCCAGCCGCCCCTGTGTCACTGCTGTGTCCCCGTGTCACTGCTGTGTCCCCGTGTCACTGCTGTGTCCCTGTGTCACTGCTGTGTCCCTCTCTAGACACCTCCTGTGTCACTGCTGTGTCCCTCTGTCACTGCTGTGCCCCTCCCCAGCAGCCCCTGTGTCACTGCTGTGTCCCTGTGTCACTGCTGTGCCCCCAGGACCACAGGACACCCAAGGATGTCCCCAGGTGCTCCCCCAGCACCCCAGGTCAAAGCTCTCCCCAAACGTCCCTGGGTGACACCACTGAACCCCACCCCCATCAGGAGTGTCTGTCACCCCCATAGGAGCATCTGTCACCCTCACAGGAGTGTCTGTCACCCCCATAGAGTGTCTGTCACCCTCACAGGAGTGTCTGTCACCCATTAGGAGTGTGTCACCCTCACAGGAGTATCTGTCACCCTCACACGAGTGTCTGTCACCCCCCATAGGAGTGTCTGTCACCCTCACAGGAATATCTGTCACCCTCACAGGAGTGTCTGTCACCCATCAGGAGTGTCTGTCACCCTCACACGAGTGTCTGTCACCCCCACAGGAATGTGTCACCCTCACACGAGTGTCTGTCACCCATCAGGAGTGTCTGTCACCCATAGGAGTGTCTGTCACCCCCATCAGGAGTGTCTGTCACACTCACAGGAGTGTCTGTCACCCTCACACGAGTGTCTGTCACCCTCATAGCAGTGTCTGTCACCCTCATAGGAGTGTCTGTCACCCCCATAGGAGTGTCTGTCACCCTCATAGCAGTGTCTTTCACCCCCATAGGAATGTCTGTCACCCTCCCAGGAGTGTCTGTCACCCCCATTAGGAATGTCTGTCACCCCCATTAGGAGTGTCTGTCACCCCCATTAGGAATGTCTGTCACCCATAGGAATGTCTGTCACCCTCACACGAGTGTCTGTCACCCTCACACGAGTGTCTGTCACCCCCATAGGAGTGTCTGTCACCCTCATAGCAGTGTCTGTCACCCATCAGGAGTGTCTGTCACCTCCATCAGGAGTGTCTGTCACCCTCACAGGAGTGTCTGTCACCCCCATAGGAATGTCTGTCACCCTCACCAGGAGTGTCTATCACCCCCATTAGGAATGTCTGTCACCCATAGGAGTGTCTGTCACCCATAGGAGTGTCTGTCACCCATAGGAGTGTCTGTCACCCATCAGGAGTGTCTGTCACCCTCACACGAGTGTCTGTCACCCTCATAGGAGTGTCTGTCACACTCACAGGAGTGTCTGTCACCCCCATAGGAGTGTCTGTCACCCCCATAGGAATGTCTGTCACCCTCATAGGAGTGTCTGTCACCCCCATAGGAATGTCTGTCACCCTCACAGGAGTGTCTGTCACCCCCATTAGGAATGTCTGTCACCCCCATAGGAGTGTCTGTCACCCTCACAGGAGTGTCTGTCACCCCCATAGGAATGTCTGTCACCCATAGGAGTGTCTGTCACCCTCACACGAGTGTCTGTCACCCTCATAGAGTGTCTGTCACCCCCATAGGAGTGTCTGTCACCCCCATTAGGAATGTCTGTCACCCTCATTAGGAATGTCTGTCACCCCCATCTGCCCTGCAGCCTCTCCAAGCCCCACTCTGGGCACCCAAAGGTGGCTGAGGCTGTGCCAGGCAGGGGCAGGTGGCTGTTGGCACAATGCCTTCACTGAAAGGGGGGAACAGCCCTGGCACAGCTGCCCAGGGCAGGAGTGGAGTCTCCATCCCTGGAAATGTCCAATCAATGTGTGCATGTGGCACTGGGGATGTGGTTTGGTGCTGCTGCTGCTGGATTTTATGATTTTAAAGGTTTTTTTCAACCTGAACAAGTCTGTGCCACTGTGAATTGCAGGTAACAAGAATTTAGGAAGAATTTGAGGGACAAACCCTGCAAAGCCACAATGATTGCCATGTTCAGGCAAGGATTAAGGTCTGCCTCTTCTGACAAAATAAAAAGGTGCAAGGGTTTGGTTTGGGTAGTTTATTTTCTGGCATTTTCTTTTTGAACTTGGCTCATCAAAAGCTTTGTCATCTCACAAAGGAAAAAAAGGGGATTTTTAGGAGGGGCAATCTGGGAGCACAGGTTACTCAGATGAATATTAGAGAAAGCAAGAAAAGGATCTGTGCTGGGGAAACAAAGTGTAAAGAGGGCAAAAAAAGCCTCAAAAGGAAGTACAGGAAAGCAGAGAAAGGAAAACAGAATAAAATAAATAGAATATAATAACTGGGATAAAATACATAGCATATAATACATGGGACAAAAGAAATAGAATAAAATAAAGTAAATAGAATATAATGAATGAAAAAATAGAATAAAATAAATAGAATATAATGAATGAAAAAATAAAATATAATAAAAAAAAATAAAATAGGTGTAAGGATGATGAGTACAGAGAGAACACAGAGGACTTGTCCATTAAAGGGCTCCTTTGAGCCATCCAGGAATTTGCAGAGGGCAGCCCCATTCCCCTACAAGTCAGAGGCACCCATAAAGCATTTTGTTGAAATTACAGTCTCATTATTCTCTTGTTTAGGGGAAAAGGCTCCTGTGTCCCCCAGTCCAGTGGAGATTCCCAACTCCTGCCAGCCCAGGGCTCCCAGGGGGCTCAGCTGCTCCCTGGCTTTGCTCACCCTGTGTCATTTCCAAGGAAGCTGCTCCAGCAGCCCTGGATGCCTCAGCCACCCCAGAAAAGCTCAGCACAGCCCAGCAGCCTGGGCTGTGCCCTATTTTTGGGATCAGACTCCACACAAGGTGCAGCCCCTGGGGTTTTGTTGGTTTTCACCCCAGGAATGAGGGGCAGCAGCTGCTGACCCTGGAGCCCCAGGCAGGGCCCTCCTGTCACCAGTTGCCCCAGCACAGGTGGAGTTTATTCCCTGTTCAGGCTATTTTGGGGTTTGAAACGCTTTCCCAACGAGCTCCACCTCATGCACAGGCATTGACAGCTGCCTGGCTTTACAGTGTCCCTTAAAATTAATTTGCATGCTTAAATACCCTCCTGTGAGCACAATAGCACCACAGGGACTGCTGCCATCAAGGTTTTAAATGTGCAGCGAGTGTGAAAGATGAACAAGTCGCAGTGTTGGATTTGAAAAGGCAATTTAAACATTAATTATTCAACAGAACCCTGTTAGGAGGCCAAGAGCCCTTCAAAATCTTCCCATTTCACCCCTCCCTACAAGACTCTGAGTGAATAAATGCCACACAAAAGAAATCATTTCAGAGAAGGTGCTTATCTCAGTATTTACCAACACTCATATTGGCCCTGCTTGAAGAGCAGGAAAAAATCCTCAGCTTCTGCAGAACATCCTTTATTGTGCTCACCAGTGCAGGGGAGATGTGGCTGCAAGAGCCTTCCTGGTGCCTTTAATTCCTCTCAGGCAGTATCTGCTTGGTTTTAATTCAGGTAAAAACAAGAAGATCAGTGTGTGTTGGTACTCTGAGGCAATGCCAGAGTTCTGGCAGATGAGAAATCCACACAGAGGATCCCCCAAAGCAGCATCTCCACATGGAGAAAGCAGCAGGGCTGCCAGGGAAGCTGTTGTTTGTCAGGTTGGCACATTCCTCACCCAGAGCCATGGCATGGTTTGGGTTGGAAGGGACCGTAAGGATCACCCAGTGCCACCCCTGCCATGGCAGGGACACCTTCCACTAGCCCAGGCTGCTCCAAGCCCCGTCCAGCCTGGCCTTGGGCACTGCCAGGGATCCAGGGGCAGCCCCAGCTCCAGGGCCTGCCCACCCTCACTGGCAAAAATCCCTTCCTTCCATCCAAGGAAAATCAAACCTGGTTCAGTTCCCAGCCCCTTCCCCTGCCCCAGTGCAGAGCTGGCACTGGGCAGGGACAGGAGGGGACTCCAGGCAAACCTGGCTCTGGGAGACAGGGAGAGATTTCCTCAGCTGAAAACAAGTTTGTGTGTGCAGCAGCCATCAGCTGACAGTCTCCAGTGAGATCTCCATGGAAACACCACCCCTGAGGATGCTGCTGTGCTGGCAGGGCACTCCTGAAAGGCTGACAGGCAGAGGATTCCAGCCCTGGGCATGGGAAGGAGCATCCCTCTTCCCAGAGAACACTCATCAGGGCTGCTCCATGGATACACCTCACTACTGGTGCCACTATTGTCCATTTTGTCCTCAAAAAACCTTCAGAGCATTTCAAACCATTGCTCTTGTCCCAAAAATGAAGGAATTTCTGTAGCACTGATCAGCTCCTTCCACATGGTGGAAGGGCTTCCATGAAAGGAGGCACAGAAAAATGGGGAGAGTGTGCAAAGCAACTCAGGGGTGGAAAACCAACACAAATATAAACATTAGGTAACAAATATAAACCATAATTACAACAAGGAACAAAAAACTGCTCAACAGGATTGACTTTGCCAGGGTTAAATCTGAGAAATCCTGAGAGAAATACAAATGGAGTGGCTTTAACTGGAAGGGAGTAGGTTTAGATTGGATGTTAGGAAAAAATCCTTCCCTGGGAGGGTGGGCAGGCCCTGGCACAGGGTGCCCAGAGCAGCTGGGGCTGCCCCTGGATCCCTGGAAGTCTCCAAGGCCAGGTTGGACACTGGGACAGTGGAAGGTGTCCCTGCCATGGCAGGGGTGGCACTGGGTGAGCTTTAAGATCCCTTCCAATCCAAATTCAATCCCATTGTTCTGTGAAATGTTTTGTCTATAAAGCAAAGGCACCCCAAATTCTCCTCTCCCCTTCCTACAGCTCAGGGGGCTCTGGATCCACCAGCAGGATCAGTGCCCACCCCAGTCCCAGGGCAGGAGGGGCAGCTGCAGGGAGAGGCTGTGAGCAGAGCTGGAATTTTACACCACAGAATCTACCAAAGCTTGGTTTTATCAAATTTCCATCCTGGAATGTTACCTTGACAACCTGTATGGGTCAGCAGAGGATCTGCTGGACCCATCCCTGCTGTGCCAAGCACTCCAGCACCCCTGGAATCTCAAGGACTCCTGCTCAGGTCAAAGAAACTGGCTGTGGTAGTTACTGAGGGGAATAACTGCACATCTACCAATAAAACTGATTTATAGCTGCAGAAATGGGAGAATTCTCAGAGCAAGAGACCTCTCTGCACAGACCATTAACTGCTCTTGTCCTGAGGAGCTCCAAACAGCCACATGAGCAACACAGAGCCAAAATACAGCCAATAATGAGCCAAAATACAGCCAGAAATACAACAGAGAGCCAAAATACAGCCAAAAATACAACACAGAGGCAAAATACAGCCAATACTGAGCAAAAATACAGCCAAAAATACAACATAGAGCCAAAATACAGCCAAAATACAACATAGAGCCAAAATACAGCCAAAATACAACACAGAGCCAAAATACAGCCAATGCTGAGCCAAAATACAACACAGAGCCAAAATACAGCCAAAATACAACACAGAGCCAAAATACAGCCAGTACTGAACCAAAATACAGCCAAAATACAACAGAGTCAAAATACAGCCAGTACTGAGCCAAAATACAGCCAAAATACAACATAGAGCCAAAAATACAACACAGAGCCTAAATACAATGAATACTGAGCCAAAATACAGCCAAAAATACAACACAGAATCACCACAGAGCCTGCCCTAGGGCTCTCTGTAGGAATGGATATTCTGTTTTTAACACATCTTTTACTGGTGAAAAAGCAACAATTATTGACATTTCTTAGTAATATTATTTCTGAAATTTCTTTCTGAAATTGTACCTGACTTGCTTAGCTCTCATTTTTAAGGCATTAAGGATTTCAGAGGGAAATGTTCAGGTGACAAATGATCTGGTTTTGTGCTGCTGTAAATGTACAATCTGCACCTTTACACCCATCAGGCACACAGGTAAAACAGACATTGTCCTAAACCTGTGACAAACACAGATTTATCCCTCATTAATCCTGCACTCAGTGAATTTCAGTGACCTGGACACTCTGGTTAAGGTAAAGGTGGAGAAACCAATAGTGAGAAATCCTGATGGACAAAATCCTGCCTTGCCCACATCACCAAAAAACACCTGTGTGGGAACACCTGGAAAATCAGGTGTGGAAAACCCCTCTGCTAAAAGGCTGGGAGTGTGGGGGTGTCTGAGCTCCGCTGGGAGCCTGGGGTGTTTGCACCCTGTTATTCACCAGGATGGGGGTGTTTGCACCAGGCTGGGGATGTTTGCACCCTGATTTTCACCAGATTGGGGGTGTTTTAACCAGACTGGGGATGTTTTCACCAGGTTGGGGGTGTTTTAACCAGACTGGGGATGTTTGTACCCTGATTTTCACCAGGCTGTGGGTGTTTGCACCAGGCTGGGGGTGTTTGTACCCTGTTGTTCACCAGACTGAGGGTGTTTTCACCAGGCTGCGGTTGTCTGCACCCTGATTTTCACCTGGCTGGGGGTGTTTGCATCAAGCTGAGGGGGTCTGCACCCTGCTGTTCACCAGGCTGGGGGTATTTGTACCCTGGTTTTCACCAGACTGAGGGTGTTTTCACCAGGCTGGGGGGGTTTGTACCCTGTTTTTTACCAGGCTGGGGGTGTTTGCATCAAGCTGAGGGGGTTTGCACCCTGGTTTTCACCAGGCTGGAGGGGAGTTCACCAGGCTGGGGGTGTTTGCACCCTGTTGTTCACCAGACTGAGGGTGTTTTCACCAGGCCATAGGTGTTTGCATCCTGGTTTTCACCAGGCTGGGTTTGTCTGCACTCTGATTTTCGCCTGGCTGGGGGTGTTTGCATCAAGCTGAGGGGGTTTGCACCCTGGTTTTCACCAAGCTGGGGATATTTGCACCAGGCTGGGGGTGTTTGTACCCTGTTTTTCACCAGGCTGGGGGTGTTTTCACCAGGCTGGGGGTGTTTGTACCCTGTTTTTTACCAGACTGAGGGTGTTTTCACCAGGCTGGGGGTGTTTGCATCCTGGTTTTCACCAGGCTGGGTTTGTCTGCACCCTGTTTTTCACCAGGCTGGAGGGGTTTTCATCTGGCTGGGGGTGTTTGTACCCTGTTTTTTACCAGGTTGGGGGTGTTTGCATCAAGCTGAGGGGGTTTGCACCCTGTTGTTCACCAGGCTGGGGGTGTTTGTACCCTGGTTTTCACCAGGCTGGGGGTGTTTGCACCCTGTTGTTCACCAGGCTGGAGGTGTTTGCACCCTGGTTTTCACCAGGCTGGGGATATTTGCACCAGGCTGGGGGTGTCTGCACCCCGGTTTCCATGGGCACACAGCCCCTGGCACACAGCAGGTTGTGCTGCCAGCCCCTCAGAGCACAGAGACACCAGTGCTGGGCCAGAACAGCAGCCAGGAAAGCAGCTGCTCAGGGCAGCTTCCTTTCAAAACAAGAGCACTGCCATGGAGACACTGCCTGCTGCAGCCAGCATTCCTACTGGGAGTAGCTACTCCATGGATACTCTGTGCTGGGTGCCCAGCAAGGAGGGCAGGAGGAGACTCTAAACCCAACATTATGGATGCAGCCTGAGCTAATCATCCCCTCCACATCTGCAGATGAGATTTCACCCTCACCCTAATCCCATCTCAGCCCTCCCAGCAGTACAGAAATGCCAGGTTTGTCATTTCTCCAAATGCAAACATCCCAGAGAATCTGTGCAGGGCATTTCCCAGCCAGGCAGGCTCTGGAGGCTGGAGATAACCAGAGCACCCCAGGCTGAGGGAGACTCAGCTGAATCCCTGCTCCAGGATGCTGGGGAGCAAAGCTGAGGTGCTGCCCACCCCTTCCATCCCTGCTAATCCACTGCCTGGCAGCTCCACCCTGCTACCCCAAGGCCAGACCTGACTGTAATTCTGAGTTTAGCTTTGGTAAGATTTACATTAAACATGAACAAATAGAAAAAAATCTAAATAAATAAATTCAAGCCCAACCTGAAGGATCAGACAAGCCCTCAGAGACACAGGAACAGTGGCATAAGCTGCTGTGAAATGCCAGCCCCTGCCAGGGCCAGGATCCTGCACACAGCAAAGCAAACTGATACAGGGAGGGAGCAGAGAACTGTAAGAGGCAGTTTGGGGTTTAGCTTTTATTTTATGCACCAATATTAAAAGCTAATATGATCACAGAATCATAAAACCATGGAATATCCTGAGTTGGAAGGGACCCACCAGGATCACCCAGTCCAACCCCTGGTCCTGCCCAGGACACCCCAACAAACCCACCCTGTTGCTTTGGTGCTGCAATAACTGCACTGTAACTGTTATAAAGACATTAAATATATCAGGAACTGCAAGCCAAAGACTTTTTCCATGTTATGGACATGAAAATGGAGCTACAGAGTAAAGACACTGCCCTGAAAGAGCCCCAGCTGAGGATCCCCAGGGCTGTACTCACGTTGTAGAGGGGGATGGTCTTCATCACCTTGTACTGCTTCATGGGGTCCATCTTGTACAGGTGTCTGTCAGTGATGAAAATGGCCCTGTCCTCCACCTTGTTAAAGCGATTCACCTGCACAGAAACACCTTGTGAGTCCCACTGACCCCTGCAGGAACACAGGGAATGAGACTGGGCAGTGCCAAGTGCCAAACTCACTCAAAAATGCCCCAAACTTGTACAAAAATACCCCAAAGTCACACAACAAACACCCTAAACTCACAAACAGCCAAAAGTCACACAAAAATACCCCAAACTCACACAAAAATACCCCAAACTCACACAAAAATACCCCAGAGTCACACAACAAACACCCTAAACTCACAAACAGCCAAAAGTCACACAAAAATACTCCAAACTCACACAAAAATACCTGAAACTCACACAAAAATACCCCAAACTCACACAAAAATACCCCAAAGTCACACAACAAACACCCTAAACTCACAAACAGCCAAAAGTCACACAAAAATACCCCAAACTCACACAAAAATACCCCAAACTTGTACAAAAATACCCCAACGTCACACAACAAACACCCTAAACTCACAAACAACCAAAAGTCACACAAAAATACCTGAAACTCACACAAAAATACCCCAAAGTCACACAACACACACCCTAAACTCACAAACAGCCAAAAGTCACACAAAAATACCCCAAACTCACACAAAAATACCCCAAACTCACACAAAAATACCCCAAACTCACACAAAAATCCCCCAAAGTCACACAACACACACCCTAAACTCACAAACAACCAAAAGTCACACAAAAATACCCCAAACTTGTACAAAAATACCCCAACGTCACACAACAAACACCCTAAACTCACAAACAGCCAAAATTCACACAAAAGTACTCCAGACTTGCACAAAACCACCTGAAACTCACACAAAAATACCCCAAAGTCACACAACACACACCCTAAACTCACAAACAACCAAAATTCACACAAAAATGCTCCAGACTCGCACAAAAATACTCCAAACTCACACAAAATAACCCCAAACCCACACAGCTCCTAAACAGGTTTTCTCCTTGGACCTTGGAGCACTGAAAAGGGAACATGGTCCCTGTAATCCCATTATACAAAAGAGACAGAGGAGCAACATTCCCAGTCATCCAGCAGAGCTGTGGCACCCTGGGAAATTCCAGTTTTCACCCAAACCAAGGCCAGAGGCTTCCCTCAGGCACAATCAAGCCCTGTCCAAGTGGAGCTCAGGCTGTTGTCCCCACATTGCCAAGGAGCTTTGGGAACCCCAAATGGAGAATCCCTGCCCTGGCACAGCCCAGACCTGAGGCTTTGGACCATCCTTGGTCTGTGTCCTGTCCCTCCATCCCTTGTCCCCAGTCCCTCTCCAGCTCTCCTGGAGCCCCTTTAGGCCTGGAAGGGGCTCTGAGCTCTCCCTGGAGCTCCACCTCATCCAGGCTGGTGGATGCCCCTCAGCACTAAACCAGGCAGGATGCAAAGGTTTATTGGAAATGTCCAAGAAAGTAGGACACAAAGTAGAAATTGTTTTTCACTGAGGCAAAACCAGAGTCATGGTTGTATCACAGTCACTGAGATATTTATTAATCAACTGAGAAGGGGAGACAAGGGTAAGACGTGAGGAGGATGAACATAAATAGGATTTTCCAGGGTGAAATCAGGAGACAACAGGAGAACTTAAATATCCTCAGTCAGGAGGCAGCAGAGTGACAAAGTTCAGAGCAGATAAAGGCAAAAAAATGCAAATTGGAGAGCTCTGTGACAGCTTTACATTAACGGCACTGACTCAGAAAAAGCAACCGAGGATGATTTCAGACAGCTCTGGAGAGATCTTGGCACAGAGACATGAGGCAGCTCAGAAAAAGCAGAATGTTGGCACAGGCAAGGAATAACATGGGAATAATGTCCTGGGAGCCATGGTTCACCTGGAACAGCCTGTGAAGGACCAGGGTGCTGAGTGTGAAGGAGAATCTGGTGGTTCAGAGAAGGTGAAGAACATGATTGAGGGCCTGGGAATCTCACAGGAAGAGATGCTGAGTAACCAGGATTATTTTAGGAAGCAGATGAATGGGAGAAAAAAGCCTAAAGGCTATGAAACACTGAATGGCCCTGAGAAAGTAGGTTAGGAGTGCCTGGTGCCACATGTTGGGTGCTGGAGCAGAGCAGCACTGGTTCCTCAGCCAGGATTTGGGGAAGCTCTGGGCTCTCCACACTCCAGGTCCTGGGAGCTGAACCAAAGTCAAGTCCCTGGAGCTGGATCTGCCCCTCAGAGCTCAGATCAAAGCTCAGATCAATCAAGAAATTGATTTTTTGTGATTTGTTTGCAGAGTCTGACACAGTGAACACTGCCTGGGCACTGCCATGACCCTGCCTGGCTGCTGTCCCACCCCCAGCCCCTGGTGACAAAGGGAGCAGATTTCTGGTGCTGTGACACCAGAGCCACCCCAGGGCAGGAGGCCCTGTGGCTGCTGCCTGGGAAGCAGAGATGGGAAGCAGAAATGAGAAGCACACTCAGATTTCACAGTCAGAAAGGCTGGAAAAGCCCTCTGAGATCACCAAGTCCAATTGTTCCTCCAGCACTGCCAAGGCTGCCACTGACCCCTGTCCCCAGGGATGGGGACTTCACCACTGCCCTGAGCAGCTGTGCCAATGCCTGATCACTCTTTTTGTGAAGAAATTTTCCCAATATCCATCTTAAATCTCCCCTGGCCCAGCCTGAGGCCGTTCCCTCTGCTCCTGTCCCTGTTCCCTGGAGCACAGCCCGGCCCCCCCGGCTGTGCCCTCCTGTCAGGAGCTGTGCAGAGCCACAAGGGCCCCCTGAGCCTCCTTTGCTCCAGGCTCAGCCCCTGCCCAGCTCCCTCAGCCTCTCCTGGGCTCCAGCCCCTGCCCAGCTCCCTCAGCCCCTCCTGGGCTCCAGCCCCTGCCCTGGACACCCCCAGCCCCTCCAGGTCCTTCTCACCATGAGGTGCCCAGAGCTGACCCCAGGACTCAGGGGACAGTCACTGCCCTGCTCCTGCTGCCACACCATTTCTGATCCAAACCAGGTGTCCCTGGCCTCTGGCACACCTGGATTAACCCTCAGCCCCTGCTGATATATCTTGAAATACCCCAAAGCTGTATTCCAAGCCAATATTATGGAATATTGTGGGAGTTCTACAGGCATGGTTTGAATCCCACTATTTTCTCATGGCTCCCTGCTGGTTTTAGTATTAAAATTCTCTCTCCAGGTTTTAGTATTAAAATTCAGCTAAAGGAATGTACCAAAGGAGAGGCCCAGCAGCTCATCTCACCTGAGGAGCAAAATCTCATGTCATTCCAGCTTTTTCCAAGCAGAAGAGGCTCCAGGTGTGTCATGCACCTACAGTGCATTTGTGTAAATAATACCTGCTGTGAGTTAAAGTACAAACTGTCCCACTGGGGAGCAGGCACAGAAGGGACTCACACAAATTTGCACTCACAAATTTGCACTCAAAATTGCACTCACAGTGCAAATACCACTATTGGCCTTGTAGGAGTAAGGACAGGCCTTCTGTTTTCAGCTACAGCTCATTCCCTCCTGGGGAACAGCCCTTCCCAGCATTGTGTTCTCTGCACCTTCTGGGCATTTTGTATTTATATCTTGTTGATCCAAATGTGAATCAGTCCTAATTTAGCTTCCTGACAAGCTCGTGGGGGAAATGAAGATCTGGCAAAGAGCTGAAAAATCTTCAAGGAAGTTTTTCAAGTTTCTGTCAGTGGCTTCTGGACACTGCAGGGCAGAGGCCTTTGAAAGAGATGATCCTGTCAAAGGAGCTTGGTGCCACAAGTGACAAGTGGGAAGAAAAACCTTATTCTAAAGAAAATGGAGAGAGAGAGTTGTTTCCTAGGTGATCCAACAAAATCTGGAGGTTTGCATGAAATATGCATTTGGTTTCTCCTAAGGCAAAAATCTTGAAAATTTCCTTTGAAAAAGTGAAGAGCAGCACAATGCTCAGAAAAGATGGATTTTTCCATAGGCAGGAATGACCTGTTTCTACCTGTGCCTACTGCAGGGAAGCAAGCACACAGCTCATTCTCCTCCCCTCAGCAAGGCTTCAAAGCCTTTCCCAGCCCTCCTGTAAAAACTGCTCCAAACAGAGCCCCCCATTATTATTCAGCTCAAGCTGCTGAAATTGGGCCCCCACACAGGCAAAGAAAACTTTACCAGCAGCTCAAAACTTGGAGAGCAGTTCCTGGAATAAATTTACTATTTGGAGGTAAAACCACAAAATTATTGAGGCTGGAAAAGCCCTCCCAGCCCATCAAGTCCAACCTGTGCCCAATCCCCACCTTGTCACCAGCCCAGAGCACTGAGTGCCACATCCAGGTGCTCCTTGGGCACCTGCAGGGATGGGGACTCCAACACCTCCCTGGGCAGCCCCTGCCAAGGCCTGACCACCCTATCCAGGAAGTTCTTCCTGATCTAGAATCTTCTAAATTCTTCCTGAAGAATTCATTAGATCAATGTCAGTCATCATTAAAAAGTTAAAAACATTCTGTGTCAATGAATTTAATGAGCCAATATCTGACAGGTCACAGGGGCTGCTCTACCCATAAATGTGTTTAAATAGGTGAGCTCTGGGCTCCACCTCTGTCTGCTCAAGCTGCTCAGTATTTTTGCTTTTAATGTGTTTTCTGTGCAAGGAAAGAAGTGCATTAGACTGAATATTTCCAAAAGCTGACACCTGAACTTTCTGTTGACACTTAACAACTGTTTCACATGTGGTTTGGTGACTCAGTAGCTGAAGGAAGCCGCAGAGGAAGGCTGATGCTGCTTCAGAAATAAAACATTCAGCCCAGCTCACCAAAGTGCCCTTTAACACCTTCCCACCAACAGCTTCTTGTCTCAGGGAAGAGCAGGAGCAGCACAGTTTTTGTTCAGGAATCCTCAAATAAGCTGAATCATGAAAACACAGCACGGATGAACTCGAGCAGCCTTTTTTTGTCAATTGCTGCTTTGTTCAGGAGAATTATTTAAGGGAAGCAATGAAATCACCTGATAATTACAATTTCATTTCTATAATTCACTCTGCAGGCCCCCGTTAAAGCTTCACGTGAGTGAATTTTCAGCAGAGATCAAACACAACCTGCAAACCCACAGGAACCAGGTTTAACATGAGAGATGTGACAAATGTGCCCTGAGCACTGGGCCAGGCTGCACGTGCCAGCACCACGTGCCACCCTGGGCCAATAAGGTCTGGTAATGTGGGAAATGGATTTACAGGCAATATTTGTTATATATATAAACAAATATTAGATATATTTTATATATTATATTATTATATATTATATTATATCATTATATATTATTATATATTATCTATTATATTATATTATATAAAACATATCCATATATATTAGTATTTTATATATAATATGCAAAACACATATTATAATATAAAATATATAAAATATATAAATATATATTATATATGTTATTATACATGTATATTATATATATTATTATATATATACATTTAACATGAGAGATGTGACAAATGTGCCCTGAGCACTGGGCCAGGCTGCACGTGCCAGCACCACGTGCCACCCTGGGCCAATAAGGTTTGGTAATGTGGGAAATGGATTTATAGGCAATATTTGTTATATATATAAAACAAATATATTATATTATATTATATTATATTATATTATATTATATTATATTATATTCATATATGTTAGTACTTTTATATATTATACATAAAACACATATTATAATATACAATATATAATATATATACATATATGAAGGTATATATATACACCTTCATAAAACTAAAAATAAAATAAAAATTTTTAAAACATCTCTCAGTTACCCCATCTCTAAATCAAAAAAAAACCCCATAATCCAACAGGTAGGACATAGGGAAGTCAAGGCTAAAGAGAAGAAACCTGATGATTCATTTAAAAATGTATTTGTTAAAAATTCAAAGGGAAGAATGCAGCAATGAGGAGAGATTCCCCCTGCCCCAGCACTGAGGGTCACCCAGGGACTGCCCTTACTCTGGGGTAAGAGGCAGGATGCCAAAACTTGTATTTCTGACAAGAGAAAGACTTTGATTTTAAAGAGCTTAGGATGGAAATGGTTTCCTGGGAAGGGCAAAGGCTGTTCCCAGCTGTGCTCCTGCCCAACAGCTCTCACCTCTGCTCAGTACATCCAGAAACCTGACCTGAGGAAGTGCCTTGCTTGGAAAGGGAAATGCTAAATTCTCAAATGTCAAATCCTTCTCCTGTTAACCTTCCCATTTCAGCAGTGTTTGTGTTCATTGCTCTGCTCCCTTGGACATTTCCTGTCTGTACAAGCAGAAGACAAACAGTTCCCTGAGGAAGGAGCCATACCCCAGCATGGCTTTGGATGGGAGAGTTTGCTTTTGTGACATGGAGATGCTCTGGAATCACCAGGCTTACACATCCATGAGATGGCACAGTGCAGTCCTGCCCTCAGTAGTGCTGGGATCATGGAATTATGGAGTGGTTTGGGTTTGGAGGGACCTTAGAGACCACCCAGTGCCACCCCTGCCATGGCAGGGACACTTTCCACTGTCCCAGGCTGCTCCAAGCCCCGTCCAGCCTGGCCTTGGACTCTTCCAGAGATGGGAAATGCTGATGGCTCCAAAGCCATGCCAGGGATCCCTAACTCAGCAGGCCAGCAGGGGATCTGGACTGTGGCATTCACATTCTCTGAACAGAGAGCCATCATTCTCTCTCTCAGGGTTTTTCCTGGAGAAGCACAGAGAGAAAAAGAGGAAAACAATTCTTATCTCTGCTTGCTGCTCCTGTTGTTTTTGCACACATGTTATGGAGATTGTTTACCTGAAGTGATTTGTCAGTTGGATTTTGCTGAGGATTGCTTTGTTTCCTTGGCCAATTGGGGAAAAATTGAGCCAAATTTTCCTTGGGCCAATTGGGGAAAATTGTGTCCTGACTGTCAGGAGTTCAAGCATTAGTTTTCTTCAGTATTCTTTAATACTCTTTGTAGTACAGCATCTTTCATATAGTGTAGTATCATGTAATATTATATAGTTTAATAAAGCAATTGTTCAGCCTTCTGAACCAGTGGAGTCAGCTGCCAATCATTCCCTACATTGGGACACCCTGATTTTACAATACAAGTCCTACCTCTCTGTGAAAAGAAAGCAACAATTTAACCTTTCAAAAGTCAAAAGAAATTACAAGATAATTTAAAACCCATATGGCTGCAAGGCTATAACCCTGCAATATTTGTGATTTCAGCTGAGCTGAAATGCACCCACAGCTTTAAAGCTTTGCCTCTGAGAGCACTGAAAGCTTTTCAGGCTCAGGAGAAATCCACTTCATGATGGGTAACACCTATTCCATCCCCATTCTGCTTCTACTATTGAAGTGCTGGCATCTCAGTGCAACAAACCCACAAAAACTGGATTTTTCCAGCACAGTCACAGTACAGAAACATGGAATGCTCAGAGATTCCTCCATACACCAAAACCAACAAATGCTGCTCTGACCCTTGTCTGGAGGCAGGAGCTCTGTCCTGGCAGGTAGGGAACAGGATGAAATGTGGATCTGTGCTTCAGGAATCTGCTTTGCCCTGTGCTTGCACAGGAGATTGTCCTTGAGAGCTGAACCAGGAGCAAAAGAAACACAAGGATGTGAAGGCTGGAGAGCTGCATAACAATGAACCAGATAAAACTCACACTGTGTCCATCACACACAGACCCCAGTGATGCCATCACCATCATTCCATCACATCTCTAATAACTGAATATTGTCCTTTCTACAGTCATCCCAGTTTAGCCAGAAGCTGCAACTGGAATCAGTTCATTAAATGAGTTAGAAGAGGAATTATTTTGATTTCAGCCTAACCTGAAAAAAGCCAGGGGGAAACTCTGCATTTCTCTGTCCCTCAGGGAGGTTCAGCCCAAGAGCTGTGAGGTTGTAAAGAGGAAGTTTGGATTCAGACTGGCTGGCTCCTCCCTTAATCCTGTGAACCCCATCCTCACAGAGAATGTGGTCACAGCAACACCAAACTCCACTGAGATATTTTTGCTTGGAAAGCAAGAAGAGATTTCTATTTTTATGAACACAAATCACTGTTGAATAAACAATACAACTCACTGCCACTTGCAAAGTTTTATTAGAAAGTGAGATTTTGTGCTGCAGAATGAATTGTCTAGATCTGCAGAATCGTAAGGAATAACTGTGCTTGTGGGGACCAACTGCAGTATTTACAAATAAAAAAAAATACAGCTTCTTAAAAACACCTGAACACCCACAGCACTCACCTGCCACTGAAATTGAGTTTGTCTGTTGGCTTTGGAAAATTAAAAATATCCTTCCCTGACAGATATTTCCAACCAGCATCATTAGGACCTACCCACAACAATTAAACGAGTCTGTTTTTTTAATTAGCTGTTTAAACCTTCCAACCAAGTTAACAAAAAACCCAATTCTGCTACAAAAAAACATCAGACACAACCCAGTTATGCAGAAGGAACTGATTTTATCATGAAATCATGGAATGGTTTGGGTTGAAGGGTTCTTAAAGACCATTCAGTCCCAGCACTCTGCATGGGCAGGGCCTCAACAGTTGACACGATGAAGCCCCAGCATCACCCAACCTTGCTCCACCCAAAAATCCCCGATGCAGCTCCTTGGAAGTGCTCTGAAGTGCTGTGCCAGCACCCCTGGGTCACCTCCTGGTCCCTGGACACCCCAGCCCCATTACCTTGCGCACGTGGCAGGAGAAGAGGATGTTCATGTACTTGTCCTTGCGCTTCAGCTCGTTGGCCACGGGGGTGAAGGAGCCTGAGCTCTGGGGGCTGTCTGGTTTCTGGAAAAGCAGAGACAGGCTCAGAACATGGCTCCCTCCACCCTTCTGTGCTTTGGGAAACCAAACCTTGACACACCAAAATGCTCCAAGGGAGGATGGAGTAAAGGGAAGCAATCAAATCTGCCTAGAGAGAATTTCTTTCAGTCTCTGTGTTTTCCATTCTACCCAGCATTTCAGTCTCCCAGTGAAGTCTGGCTCTGCCCATTTGCAGAGACAGCTGATGGCACTGCTTTAGTGCTGCTCAGGATTCACAAAAATCTCTCCTAGTGCAGTGGAAGTCAAGATTTTGAACCCACATGAACAGAGGAAACATCTAAGTACTTCCCCTCCCAATAAACCAACGCTCATTTTCCAGAATTTTCCCCTTCCAGCCCCCTGAGCCCAGATCCCTTCACTCACCAGTGCGATGTAGTTGCCCTGCCAGGCTCTCTGGAGGCCAATGTCAGCCCTGTGGCCCTTCAGCAGCTCCATGGCAGCCACCTTGGCCCTGAGCTGAGGCAGCACCTCTGGGGGAACGCTCCGGATCAGCTCGGCCGCTCTCCACCTGCCACCAAAGCAAGAGCAAGGTCTGCCTCAGCCTGGAGCTCGCCAGGAAGGACTCCTGCTGCCAGAGCAGCACCACAGGGACACCTCAGAGTCCTGCCCAGGCACTCCCCAAGCTGCAAAGGTCAGCTGATGTTTTAAAGTCATGTATTGTATTGTATTGTATTGTATTGTATTGTATTGCATTGCATTGCATTGCATTATATTATATTATATTATATTATATTATATTGTATAATATCATATTTAAAATACATATTAATATATATTAGTATTTTATATATATAATATATAAAACACATATTATAATATACAATATATTAAAATATATAATATATAAAATATATATATATATGAAGGTATATATAAATACCTTCACAATTGTATTGCATCGTATTGTATAATAAATATAATATAATATAATATATTTTGAATATATATTCATATTTATTAGTATTTTATATACATAATATATAAAACACATTATAATATACAATATATTAAAAAATATATATAATATATATACATATGTGAAGGTATATATAGATACCTTCACAAAAGGTATTTATATATAATTTCCCCATCATTCCCCATCCCACACCCACAAGTCAACCACTGGTGCATCTGTTTGCAATCAAGTGTGTGCAAGGCCATTTTTGGGCTCATTTACAGCACCATTCTCCTCTAACAGCTGAATTTGGCCCCTCAGTTCCAAGTGCACAATGGAACAGGGCAGGGCAGCCCATGCATTGCCCCACACCACACCCCAGCCTTCAGCAGCAGCAGAACTCAAGGGTTAAAGCTGTAAAAAGGCTTTTTAGCAGCTAAAATTCTGTAGTTCTGATAACTGAGCTAATTCTGAAAGCAGGACTCTCTCCCTAGCCAGGCTGTGGGTGGATGGATGTCTCTCCTGAAAGAGACAGCTGGAGAAAATAACAGAGCTGACTTGATCTAGAGCTGCTGGAACTGCCCTGCAAGCTGATGGCTGGACAGGAGGTCTCTGAAAGCCCCTCCAGCCAACATTTCTCTCATTCAGCCACTTTCAGAAGTCATCATTTCTCAAACTGGAATTGTAAGTACTTTGCCTACAGCTTCCCAGAGGAAAAAAATCACCAGCCTTTAGATACTGGGAGTTTAATGAAGGTACAAACACCAGTTCTGCAAACAGAACATGGGTGACAAGGGGAACATCACTCATTTTACTGCACAAAAACACTGGGTTACTACAAGAAATCTTAAGGAAATCCAGAAGATTCTTTTTCTCCTCCCCCTCATCCAAGAGCAGCTGCTCTTTCTTTTCAAAACCAACCAGAAAGGGGCCAAGGAAGGAAACACAATGTTTATCACAATGGAACAACCTGGTCTGGGGGAAGGTGCCCTTGTCCATGGCATGGGTGGGACTGGATGGGCTTTAAGATCTAAACCACGCTGGGGCTCTGTGATTCAACAATAAATCTTTGGATCAGAATTATCTGCCTGGTCAAGGGCATGAAGCCAGTGACACCCAAATCATGTCCTTCAGCCAGATGTCCCTGGGACTGATGTCTTGTGAAGGCTGACCTAAAACAGAGACTGGACAGAGCTAAAGAATAAATAGGGATTTATTAGGAGGCCTCAATGGATCCACTTTGGGCAGCACAAGAGCCCAGCCAGGGCTGCACCCCAGGTGAACCCAAAATAGTCACAAAATGCCCCATCAGTCATGAGGTCTCACAATTTTATAAGTTTTGGTCTATTAGCATATTAGAGTTAATTGTCCAATTACAGCTTTAGGTTATGCAGTGCCATCCTTGTTTTTCTCTCTTCAGCCCACATTGTTTATGCTCTTGGGCCTGAGATTTGGATCATTTGTCCTTTGTGAAAAATGTGTATTTTATGATTGGCTTTTCACAATTATTCAAATGAATATCATATGTGTTATGTTAGAAAGTTATGCTAGATTAATTTTTTAGTAGTGTGTTAAATATAGTTTTAGGTTATAACAAAATGTTAAAACAGAAACTATGCTATGTAAGATACTTTTAAAAGAAAGGACTCGCAGCGAGATAGCAGCCACAGGACACCTGAATCTTTCAGAGAAAGAGAATTTATTGCTCCCTTATCAGAAGAAATGAACTTCTTCCCACCTTGCTCAGCCATGAAAATGCCTTTAGGATTAAGAGGAAGAAGCTGACACTGACCAGACAGAACCCTGTGTTTGAATGGAATTTATGCATCATGGATGAAGTGTATGAATATGCAACAGGCTGTTGCTTTTAAGGGTTAATCCTCTGTTAATGTGGGTCCTTCTTCAGGCTCGTGCTGCCCAGAAAAAGGTACCCTGACTGTCTGTAACTCCTTGTTTCTACTGTCTCATATTGTCTTAATCCAAATTGTCCAAATTTTTATTACTCTAATTATATTACTATTTTACTCTAATTATATTACTATTTCACGCTAATTATATTACTATTTTTATAACCATTTTATTACTATTGAACTTTTAAAATTTTCAAAACAAGTGACTGGCGTTTTTCACATCCTCATATGAAGCCCAGACCTACCCACTAAAGCAGCACAGAACCTGAAAAACACAAAAACTAAAACCTGCAGGAGCTGTGCCATGGGGGGCTGTGTCTGTGTCCCTCTGTGAGCCTCTCAGGAACCCTCAGCCAGTCCTGAGTTGGCAAACAAGGGGGAGACACTCTCTGTGCCCTGAGGGTACTGAGGGCACCTGGGCTGGGGGGAGACACTGTCTGTGCCCCGAGGGTGCTGAGGGCACCTGGGCTGGGGGCAGACACTCTCTGTGTGTGCCCCGAGGGTACTGAGGGCACCTGGGCTGGGTGCCTTTGCAGCAGGAGAGACACCAGAGACATTGGTAGATGATAAAGGGCCGACTCTTAGCAGGGGTTAATCCAAGGTTTTATTCAGGGGCTCTGGGGAGCTCCTGCACCTCAGGGGGCTCCTGCTGAGAGCCCCGGGAGATGTGCCAAGGTTACATTCAAAGGGAGGTGGAAACCCAAAGTAGATAACATTTTACCAACCAATAAGTGACCCTAAGGGATGGGTACTGGGGGATGGACATTTAGGACAGCGTATGGGACAAGGCTTGGGGGGCTGACCCCTGGCCTCTGGCTCATCACTCCACGTCCCAGACTGAAAGTTCTAGATGGAGGGGATGGGATGCTGAGTGATTGACAGAGAGCCAGGGTAGGGATTTGGGGATGGTCTCATCCAGGGAGAGGGATAACACAGGGAAAGGGAGGGGGGTACAGTCTGGGATAAACCATTTGGGAAAATATGGGGATACAAAACCAAAACTACTTCAAAGTATAAAAACACACTACAACAGGTGTCAGAGCATTGGGGGGTAGGACAGCTGGGACAGACGGAGATGAGAGATCTCTGCAGCCATGTCAGGAACTTGGGGTTTATTGCAAAGGGCCTGGGTGCAGGGCCCTGCTGGGAGCTGCCAGGCACAGCTCAGAACAGGGCTGAGAGAAGAGTGGGGGAGAGAGGATGGGAGGGTAAGAGTGTAAGGGAGTAAGAGAGTGATGTTCCCATTCCAATACAATAAATTTTCTTCTGTGTTGAATATTCTAATTCTCACTCACCAATCTAGTACAAGATACAAATCCTATAGCATTTCCATACAGCCTATAAGAATCATTACATTACCATACTGTGTTACATTTTAAACCCTAAAAACTCCTCTTGGGGCCCCTTCTGCCAAGCTGGCAGGGTCTGCTCTGCCCCTTGGGCCTGTCTGCAAGCAGAGGGTGTTGTTCCATCAAAAGGGGATCGCCTTCAGCTGGCCACACCATTGTTTTCCAGTTGTTCAGTAACTGAGGGATCTCAAAGCTTGCTTTCATTTCAATCTCGCTGATAGTTTCCATATTGTGAAAATCTTTTGCCAGACAATCATATTTATAAGGCTTTCCTGTTTCATGTTCTGCTGTGGTGTGATGTATTAGCCTGTCTCAGTTATCCTGGTTCCTTCCCCAGGTGTGCCAATACCCTCTCCCTTCCCTCCCTTGCCCCCTGCTGAGTGCTGTCCCTCAATCTTGGCATTCCAGAAAGGGCAGTTGTGTGATTGGTGAAGTTCAAAAGATGCCTTTCAACCCTGGGGACATTGGGCCATCCAGGTGTCATTTGTCCCTTGAGACTTCTCCTCCTTTACCTGGTTGGTGGGATCCCTACCCCTTCCCTCTCCCTGGGGTTAAAAGACACAGCAACCACGCGGTTTGGCCGTTCTGTTGGAGCTGTTGCTGCATTCAGAGGCCTGTGTGCCAGGAATAAAGCTCTGGATCCAAACCCTCCATCAGAACCAACTCCTTTCCTTCACCTGGCCTTGAAGCCTCTCCGCCAGAGGTAAACCTGAGCTCCTGCATGCCTGGACTTGTCCCAAATGCCAGCTGCAGCATCCAGCCAGCCAAAGGTGTCCCTGAGGTGAAACCACCACAGCTGCCGCCCTTGGCCAAGCAGCAAGGGTCAGACAAGCCCAGGCACGTTCCATCCAGCTGTATTGGTATTTAATTCCAGTATATTGGCACCCAACATGGGGCATGAACCCAGGACACTGAGATTAGGAGTCTCATGCTCTTGGTGTTTAATTCCAACAACCTTCCCCAACAAACAGGGCCGTACCTGTGGTAGATGTCCTGCAGGGCCTCCTGGAAGCGGAGCAGCACCTTGGGCGGGGCGGGCCAGGGGATGGAGCGGCCGCGGTCGGGCAGGTCCCGCACGCCGCGGAAGCGCCGCAGGAGCTCGCGCAGGTGGGCGCGCACCTTGTGGCGCCGGTAGTGCCGCACGATGGTCAGCGCCGCCCGCGTCCGCCGGTAGCGCAGCCGGGCCAGCGTGCCCCGCCACACCTGCGGGGACACACAACAGGGTTGGTGGCTTTCCACACCCTTCCTGTGCTGCACGGATTTATAATTTTGTTTTGAGGGAAGGGACTTCCCCTGCCATCCTGTAAGCAGAGTGTAGGAGCGTCAGGGGGTAGGACGGAGATGAGAGATCTCTGCAGCCAGGTCAGGAACTTGGGGTTTATTGCAAAGGGCCTGGGTGCAGGGCCCTGCTGGGAGCTGCAGCCACAGCTCAGAGCAGGCCTTAGAGAAGAGAGGGGGAGAGAAGATGAGAGGGTGAGAGTAAGAGGGGAAGAGAGCAAAAGGGCAAGAGAGCAAAAGAGAGTGAGGTTCCCATTCCAATACAATAAATCTTCTTCTGTGTTGAATATTCTAATTCTCACTCACCAATCTAGTCCAAGATACAAATCCTATAGCATTTCCATACAGCCTATAAGAATCACTACATTACCATACTGTGTCACATTTTAAACCCTAAAAACTCCTCTTTGGGCCCCTTCTGCCAAGCTGGCAGGGTCTGCTCTGCCCCTTGGGCCTGTCTGCAAGCAGAGGGTGTTGTTCCATCAAAAGGGGATCGCCTTCAGCTGGCCACACCATTGTTTTCCAGTTGTTCAGTAACTGAGGGATCTCAAAGCTTGCTTTCATTTCAATCTTGCTTATAGTTTCTATATTCTCAAAATCTTTTGCCAGACAATCATATTTATAAGGCTTTCCTGTTTCATCTTCCCCAACACAGAGGAAGTGGCATTCCCTGGTATTCCCCAGGGATCCATCCCCAACTGTACACACCCTCCAATACAACCCAAGCAGAAGACTGTCTTTATTTTTCCTTCCAGAATTGAACTGGAAGGATAACGAGCCTCCCTGCTCACCATGGGCCCCCGACGAAGGAGAGAAATGATGAGGAGGACTCCATCCTATCAGAAGGCTAATTAATTACTTATTATACTATATTATTTTATACTATATTACTATTAGTTATTATTCTATTCTATTATGTTATATTTTATTATATTATTATATACTATATATTTTTATATAGAATATATAGTATATAATATATTATATATGATATTATTATATAGTATATATAATTCTATTATTATATTATATTATATTATATTATATTATATTATTCTTACTATATTACATTACATCTGAACTGAACCTGCCAAGCACTCAACCCTGCACACACTGCACAGAATCTCGAGCCTGTCAGCAACAGTCCTGACACACACACACACACACACACACACACACACACACACACACCCACCAAGCAGAAGACTGGATTTATTTTGCCTTGCAGAATTGAACTGGAAGGATAACGAGCCTCCCTGCTCACCATGGTTCTGTCACAGACTTTATTTCCCTCTGAGAAAGATCCCACAGCACTGCTGGTGCACATCAAGCCTTCCATCTACAGAAGGATTAATTAACTACCCAAGGCTGTTTTCATCATAACAGGTGCTCTGTGAAGCTGATGTCAGAGGCTCTCCTGACAGCTTCACTGACAGTCGTGCCATGCAGCCCAGAAAAGCTCATGCAGCAACCAGTGCAGAGCTGTGAGGGGCTGCTCCTCTCTAGAGATCCCAAGTTTAAAGAGAAACACAGAGCTTTTGTGAGTATCAAATCCTTGAAAAGCAGGATCTCTTCTCTGAACCTTTGTCAGAGTTCTCTCTCCTCGCTGTCCCTGTGGGGGATGTCTCCTTTTCCCTACAGACACAACCCAGGGTGCTCTGGCTGAGCCTGGGCAGTTCTTCAGCACCCAGCACTTCCTGGAGCACCAAACTCATCAGTGGAGCCCATTTCTGTTCTTACACAGCAGAACAGAGCCCAGACCCTGCACAATCCTGCCCACACAGAACCACAGCATTATAGAATGATTTGGGTTGGGAAAGACCTGAAAGATCCTCCAGTTCCAGCCCTGCCATGGCAGGGACACCTTCCACTGTCCCAGGCTGCTCCAGCCCCAGTGTCCAGCCTGGCCTTGGGCACTGCCAGGGATCCAGGGGCAGCCCCAGCTGCTCTGGGCACCCTGTGCCAGGGCCTGCCCACCCTCCCAGGGAACAATTCCCAATTCCCAATATCCCATCCAGCCCTGCCCTCTGGCAGTGGGAGCCATTCCCTGGCTCCTGTCCCTCCATTCCTTGTCCCCAGTCCCTCTCCAGCTCTCCTGGAGCCCCTTCAGGCCCTGGCAGGGACCCTGAGCTCTCCCTGGAACCCCCCCTTTCTCCAGGCTGAACATCCCTCCTGGGGGAAGGTGTCCCTGTCCATGGCAAGGGGTGGGACTGGATGGCTTCACTGTCCCTTCCAACCCCAACCACTCTGGGATTCTGAGAACAACCCAAGGAGCTCCATGGCAGCCTCAGCCCCTGCCAGGGCTGCTCTCAGGGAGGGTGTGGGAATAAAGAACATTTGGGCATTTCAGTGGCTGAGGGAAGAGCTGGAGAAGCAAGGCAGGACATGGGACAGTGAAGGGAAAGGCAAGAGCAGGAAGCACAAAAGCCACAGCAGAAACTGAGCACAGCAACCAAACCCAGGGAGCTTGGGAGAATCTCATCCCTGTGTGCAGATAAAATAATAAACAACATGTTCCTTATTTATTTCTTGAGGCCATTAGACAGAGAGGAAGCAGCTCCCCCTGCACACGTGCTGTGCTCAGCAGTCACTCACCACACTCAGTTACCACTGTGGTTTTAGCTCAGATCTGGTGCAGCTTCAGCCATGCAAAGACCTCAGAGCTGCTGGGAAGCTCAAGGCTCAAAGCTTCCTGCCTAAGCCAGACTTGCACAAGGCCTGGATTTCACCCAAAATGTGTAAGGCTGGATTAAAGCTGGCATTTCCCTGTCTGAGGGCAGAGCAGGCTCTGAAACTCTGAATTTCACAGAATCACCAGCTAGGATCCAAAAACTGAGCATCCAAACAGTACTGGGGAAATTTTTTAAAAGAAAAGCAAAGAAGATTTGGATTGCTTGAGATAGTTAAACATAGACTGAAGTGACATAAAATGTACCTGTGTAAGGGAAGTATGGACAACAAACAAAATCAACTGGGCAATACCCTACTGCCAATTTCTCATATTTGAATTTAGTAAGAACAGAAATGAGGAACAAAGGCCTCAATGAACAATCCTTGGGTGTTACAGAGGGTCTCAAGAAAAGAACACACACAGTAAATCCCTGTAAGCTGCTCAAGACTTTGCAGAGCCTCACTGCTGTCAGCTGTTCCCTGGACCACCTGATACAGAACAAAGTCTTGGTTTTGTTTCCTTGGGCTGGAAGCAGCCATGCTGTTGAGGGAAGTCTCTCACTGTGGTTACTTCTCCCACCAGTCAGACATGCCTGGAACAAAGGCTGGAACAGATTGCCCCCATGTTGTATCAGCTGCATCGCTGCAGAAATTGGCTTCACAGCAAGAGGTGTCACAATTGTACAAACACTGGCCTCCCAAATCCAATTATCCAGCTCAGACATGCCCCTGGCTACACACACAGCAAACCATTAATGAAAAGCATGTTCTCAAATCAAGTTGTCATAACTGGAGAACCCCCTGCCAGTGAGGACCTTCCATGGCACCACAGCAGTGCCTCAAAGGTGAGGAAACAACAGGAAGGACAAACTTCTCCCAGGGAATGGGGGACAAATATTTTCTAAATTAACTGTTTTTCTGGCTTGGTGTTTGTTTCTTTTTTCACTGCAGCTCAAAGAAGCCCCTCAGTAATGCTGAGCTGCCACAGTGACCTGGCTGCCCCATGGAGCCTTCCAGAAACATGGAATGGTCAATCCTGGGGACAAGAGGAGGTGTCAAAGCAGAAACCTCCCTGTTGGGCAGGTGCTTTGTGTGGCTGTGAGCAGCAGGACAGAGATCAGACAAACAAGGATCACAGAATCCTGGAATCACAGGATGGTTTGGGTTGGAGAGACCTTAAAAATGATCCAGCTCCAACCATCTGCCTTGGGCAACCTTCCACTGTCCCAGGTGGCTCCAAGCCCCATCCAACCTGGCCTTGGACACGTGCAGGGATCCAGAGGCAGCCACAGCTTCTGTGGGCACCCTGTGCCAATGCATTTCCAGAACAAGCAGCTGCAGGAGGCTGAAGTGCTCCTGCCAACTCACACCTTCCTCAGGTTTGAATATTGGGAGAGCTCTACTCAATGCACCTTTTCAATTCATAACTCAAGAACATTGAGTCCTGTAAAATGAAATTAAACAAATTTCCAGAGAGAAATTTACCCAGCCTGTAACAGATTGTCCTGTTGCAAAGGTCCTGCTCTGTTGTGTGTTGGGGACCAAGGAGGGCCAAACCCCAGCACAGGGATTTGTGCATGCAGGGTTCTGCTTCTCCCCTTTGTGCCTCTGCACCCAAGGTAAGAGCCAAGGGATCTTCATGCCCAGGTCCAAAGGGATCCAGTAGATCATCCCTCAGATCTGACAGCCACAGGCACCTCAGAATTCCCACTTCAATCCAGCCACATCCCAGCCAGCTGGGGGCATCAGAACAGAGTAAAGCAGCCTGGGATGGCAGAGCCCTGGGCCATCCCTCCCACAGGCAAGAATAAATCCATCCTTCCCTTTCCCCCTCCTGTGGCTTTCCCTGCTGGTTAACCTGATTTCCTATGGGAATGAGACTGAAGATCTGTCCCTGCCTGACCTCCTGAGATTGCCCTGACAGCTCCTGAATCCTGAGCCAGCTCCCAGCCAAGCTGACAGAGGAGCAGGAGCCTCCACGAGGCAAAGTCTCTTTATCTTTCAGGAAAAATCAGCCACAGGGCAGAAGGAGCCTGAAATCAGAGTGACATTGCTGGAACAGCTTCAGCTCCAGCTCCAGAGCCATCTGCCTCCCCAGATCCCAAACCCCAACCAGCAGACACAGAACCACCAGCCAAGCACCACAGGCACAGGAGCCCAGGAGGCTCTGGCAGCATCCCAGAGGGATGGGGAGGTGGAAACGTGTGTGGGGCACGAGGGAGGGGGTGGAGGATGCCATGGCTCCCAAATAACCA